CCTGTTCAGCTCCAGTAAGCAAAGGCAAAGGGGTTCAAGTGTAGTTCGTTTGGGTTTGTTTTTTTTTTAGTGAGTCTTTCTCCAGTAAGGTGGGGGAGGAGTATACAGCTCCATTCCTGTTTTTAACATTCTTGTGGCATGATTCAAAACTAACTTGCTGCCCTGACACCTGAAGCCTTCAATAAATAGTGCAAAGTAAGTGTTTGGATGCTTATTACTGTAATGTAGGGTGCCATACCAGCTGAAGAGAAAGGCAGTGCCTGCTCCCTGACACATCTGATGGCATCCTGCGTGTCTCCCATCTCTTGTTGGCTGTATAGCCAGTGGAGGTGGCTTGAAAAGGAGAGCGGAAGGGTGCAACTTGGTTGTCCCTCAAGTGGAAACACCAGCATTGGTGACTCCCCAACATCCTAGTCCAAGAGCCCCAGAGTGCTCCCAAGTGATGAGAAAATACACCAGGGCTAAGATGCCCTTTATTTAATGTTTTTCAGTAGCTAATAAGCAGATTTGTTAGGTGATACTTAGCCTGGTAACAAGAGTAGTAGAGTGCTAAGAACTCTTGCTCAGAACTGATGCTGTAAGATTTTTGGGGAGTGGCTGGGGTGTGCCTTACAGTAGGGGAAGATGCTGAATGTCAAGCCTGTTAAGCTGAAGGGACTATGTTTCTCAAAGATTTTTTTTCTCTTGTTTCAGCACTTTGCAGAGGGAAGTGAGCAGGCCTAATGCTTCAATCACTGCACTAGGAAGCAGCTATCGTGTTCTGTCTATAATGTGAGGCAGTGGCAGATCCTACCTTGTGAGCCTCGCTGAAGGAGCAAGCTGGCCTGTGAGGAATAGGGGGAGTACATAAATTGTTTAAGAGAAAGTCAGGGAAGTCAGTTAGTTAAATGCAAACGGGGACTTATATAATACATCCTTAAAAAAAAAAAAGTTCTTCTGGCAGGAGGTTCTGTTGGGAGAGAAACTTGCTCATCCATAACAAGGAAATTTCCCAGCCTCCTCTACCGCTTTATGGTTTATTTTTTTCCAGGGCAAGGTAGATTGCTCTCATTCTATACACTGAGACAGATGAAGGACAATCATCATAGGGAAAGCAGACATTGCTCCCTACGTGGATGTGCAAGCCAGTTCATATAGTTTCTCTTTTCCATCTGCAATGAACTACTCTTGTAGGAGCTGTGTGCCCAGGAGCAAGAAGCAAAGTATCTGTACACAAAACGAACAGGCCATTTTCTCCTCCAGTCATTCATACCTTTCTTTATGTAACTGGTGCTGAAACATGTGCTTTAAAAGCTGCTTGCTTCTAGGACTTCAGATGAAATTTAGGCAGGGACCCAAACCCTGAGGGTTACCAGACTCAAACACTGAGGGTAACTTCCAGTAACTTCTCCCAAACTTGTACAACTGTGAAATGAGGGTATTTCAAGTGTCTGCAGTTGTGCTTCCCCTGACAAACTGTACTGACCTACAGCAGTGCTGGTGCCCTGACCATCTGCAAAGGATGCCTGGCCTAATGAGACAACACAGGCCAGGGTAGATGGGGGAGGAGCTGGGAGCTATTTCATGTCATATTCAAAAATAAAATAAATCAGGTAGTGCAGAGAAGAGCCACAGGGGTGCTGCAGGTGAATTACACTCCTGAGTGGTCCCTTGAGCTGATGGAGCCTGCAGGTAGCCTGCAGATTTATTAAAAAAAAAACAACAACAAAAACCCACAAAAAACTGGGAATAGTAAAAACTGGTAAAAAACAGGCATATCCTCCACTTTGTGGTTTTTGGGTGGCACTGAAGCTGTCAGTGAGAAGCACCCAAGGAGGGAGAAGCCCTTGAAGCCCATTCCTGCCTGCTGCAGGTAAGGAAGAAGCTGTACCTCAGCACCTGAGAGATGCAGGGCCATGGGTCCCCACTTACCCAGGCACAGCATCCTCCAGCCACCCAGCATGCTTGGATACCTGCCTCCCCTGTGACCCATTTGTTTCCAGTATGCACCATACGCTGCGCTTTGGTTTGTTTAAGGGAAGAAACAATAATATATTTGTTTTGTTTTAATCTTGTAACAATGAGTAATTCCTTCCTACTGCTCTGTAGTGGCCTAGAAAAGGAAAGCATCATCTCCACTGTATCAAGAAGGCTTCTCCCAGGGCATAAAATTTTAATTAGGAGCAATCACGCAGCCTTGAAATGGGAATTGCGAGCAGCAAAGAAGTCAAACCATCAATAAAATATTCAATGGTAGAAATGTATTATTGATACAGCCTTTAGAGCAGACAAAAGCAGAAAGGCAGGGGAACCAGAGTGGGTATCAAGCCTCCCTATGTTAAATAACGCGTGGGGACCTGCATGCTTATGTGCCGGGAGGAATATAGGTCACTTGTGGGTGGGGAGTTTCCTAAGGTAATAAACCAGTTTGATTAATGCCTTTCCCCAACCCTCCCCTCCCACTCCCCCCACAGGAGAGGCATTAATCAAACTCATTTATTACCTTACAAAACACTGCTGCCTTTGCAGCAGATGGGTGATGGTTTGTAGGACACAAAAAAACCCTGCAAAACGCCACAGCCATGAAATAAAAAACCAAAGCTTGCCCTGACCACAGTGCTCTCCCTAACCCCATGCCTGATTCTCAGACCTTGACAGGGGAAATGGCTGAGTTACACTGTCCCACATCCCATGCAGCAGTTCCAAATCCTGCATCCCAGCTAAGAGGCATCAGCTGCAGGGCCAAAATTTGCTGTGATACACATTTTTTTAACCCTTATTTTTCTCCTCCCCAAGAAAGACTGCTGCTGGCACGGCCTATAGGATCAGGGCTAAACAAAATAACCTGCAAAATTAACAAACAAACAATACATAAGCAGAAGCACAGGGCAAAAATCCCATGCAAAATCAGAGATTCAAATTAACTTTCTGCCTCATTTTTCCTGGTGGATGGTGCCACAAATTATGACCCTTTAAAATTCCATTTATTTTGCAGAAGGCAAAGCTTGAAATGCAGCCCCAAAACCAAAAGATCAGTTTTTTAACCTGTGAAGTTCAGTTTTTCAGGGCAGGTGGAGGACTTTGTTTAACATCCCAGAATCTTGACATGTACATGGCAAGTGGGTTTTCTAAACCACTTTTTGGGTATTTCCTCCCCCCAGCATTGAACATCTCCATCACCCTCCTATTCTTAGCAAGTTGAAGCCTCATTTTAAAATCAAGAGAGTCTAAAAAGTAAGTGCAAGAACCCTAAAATCAAGCAAGCACAGGAGAGATTCCTTGATGTGGCTATATAGAACATACGTTATTTTAACTCATTTTCCCCAAGGTATGTGATTTAAGGAAAGGGGAGGGGGGAAAATGTGTCCCCCCATAAAAACAAACAACAAAACAACCACCAAACAAAACCATCCTGATTCAAAAAAGACATCTCTGAAATTGCATCTCCCCACTGCAGCAGCTCTCCAGTTGTAACTGGAGACACTTCTGCACCAGTGCTCTCCCAATGAAGTAAACTTTAATCCTTCTTGACCAAGTGTGGTGGCACCTCAAAAAACAGCTTTGAGGGGGCACATCCCCAGGGACCAGAGCCCAGCAGAGCCTCAGGAAAGATACTGATGGAGAACAAGAGCTGATTTTCTCACTTGCAGTTATCCATGTGCAGACAGAGGGGCATGAAGGTGAATAGGTTTCCCCCTTACCTGCTCCTATCTGCAGGTGAGTGCCACTCTCTTCACCTCCTGTCCTAAAATGCTTAAAGCTGCTGCTGTGCATTATTAAAACACTGCCACGTTTCATCCCAGAGATGGCCATCCTCTCACCAGAGACAGGCTTCATCCACTACTTGTAAAGAACTTTGGGATTTACAAAAAAAGAAAATAAGAGCAGCATGCAAGTAGAGAGGCAGTCCATCATAAAATACTTGCAGCCTTTATTTGGCAAATGGAAGGAGGTGGTTGCGGGATGCACAAACTGCTCAGACATGCTCATCAGGCATCAGACCAGGACCTGATGTGGAGGACAGCCTGCTCTGGGCCATAACAGCACACTCACACTTGCTTTGCTCAAATCCTTCCCCAAAGCTTTATTGAAAATTGAAACCATGGCATACAGGATTACATTTGTATGAGGAAAGTGGGTTTTGTGGCAAACACTGTGCCCAAGTCACATTTTTTGCATATAGTGTGTTGAAAACAGGCTCAAGGACCTCCTGGACAAACTCATCGCCTCCCACAACTGATCTGGTTTTGCAATTAAAATGCAAGGAGACCAAGACTAACTACTGGCCATCACGTAAAAAAATAAAATTTAAAAATCAGTAAAAAAATCAGTAAAATGTCACCAAGAGTGTTTTAGTTCTGCTCCCCACTCACATCACCACTGGGGAAGGGCTCATTCTGTCGTTTTAGTTTAATTTTTTTAAAAATCAGTTGGAGAATTAAGTGGATTTAGGATAGCCCCTGCTGTGTGTTGTCTGCTCCCTCGAAGCCTGGTCTGTGGCACTGTGGAACAGGGGGTGCTACTACGGGTTTCTTATACTAAAAAAAAACAGGAGGGCAGAAATTTGTCTTAAAGCTACTCTTGTGCCTGCTGTGCAGCCAGTGAAGAGGCTGTTTTGCTCCAGTGAGATGCTTTAAAACCCATTAACTTGCTCCAGCCTGGCAGAGCCTCCAGGCAGGTCTCTACCACAGCTTCACCACCTTAATCAAAGGAGCAAGGACTTTTCCAAATGCATTATGAGTCGTTTGAGGAGGCTACACAGAACAGGAGCACCACCGTTTTCTGTTGAATATAGAAAGCACTTTAAAAAAATAAAAAGGTGTTGCTTCCATCCACAGGAAAAGAGGGTTGTTTTGTGTCATTGGTCTCTGGTTTTATTTTTCAGTCTGTAAAAATACTCTGTCTGGCCATCCACATCCATTCACAATATAAAGCAGTAAAAAAAAAGTATATATATAGCATACAGTTTATTTATACAGTTACACTTGCAAGGCAATTGATCTTCTGCTGGCTGGGCCCTTCTACCTCCAGATGCTCTGCCTGGTTGATACAACTGCAAAACAAAACAAAAACAACCTGAGCAACCCCATCTTGGTGGGTGAACACTCACATAAAGAAAAGGGGAATGGAAAACTGGATGTATGCAAGCACAGAGCCTGGCCTGGGAGATGGACATGCAGATGCTGTGGCATCAGGTGAGATGGGGATGGATGTTTTGGGCCGTGAGGATGGCAGCAGGGTTTTGCTGAGGGGATGGTAGTGTGGGTTGGAATGGGATGCTGGGATGCAGGCAGCATAGCCATGGCAGGAAGAGACACCACAGCTTGCTTTTGCTGCACCCAGACACAAGGTGCAAGGCAGGTGCCACAGGAGGTAGAAGGGGTTTTGGGGTGAACTGGTCCCCAAAATGGGGTAAAAGATGGGAGACAAAGCCTGTCTTAACCTTAGCAAGGTCTTAGCCCTGGGGGATGCAGGAGAGGGGATGAGGAGCATCCTCTGCAGCTCCAAACAGAGCAGAGAGCTGGACTGCCAGCATGTGAGTCCTTGGCAGCACAGCAGAGGCTGCCAGAGTGTAAGCTTTGCTCTTCCTAATGGCATCTATAAATAGTTGTGGCCTCATGCTCCCAGCACATATTTGATCTCTGCAGCCTGTTTTGGGCAGCAAAAGCCTCTCCCCCTTCCCACTCATCCTCATCAGCCCAGCTCACACTCCCAAGGGCCCACTGGGACATACGCACCCTTGGGGTTCAAGCTGGACACCAGAGGCTCTGGCAGGGTCCTGGGATGGCTGAGGAGCTGCTTGATGCTGACCTGGGGAGGTGAGTCTGAACCAGTGGTGGAAGGAAAACCTATGGGATGGGGAAAAGTGCCTAGCTCAGGCAGGAGTCATGCCTCCCACGCTCACCAGGTACATCCACTGCAGTGCTACGGGCCAGCTACATCACCCTCTCCAGGTGCTCCAGAGGAGAACTGACCAGGACCCTGTTTTATCCTGTTCCTTTCCATGGGAGCCCCCTGCTCCTCACCACCGTGAGGATGTGGCCCTGGGCACCATGCTTGCCTTTCCCTCAGCAAACACAAAGACATCATCAGTGTCCAGAACCTGTTCCCACCAGCCCACAGGGGCTGATGCTGGCCCTCTGCTTTTTTTGCCAGTGATGCCATGGTGGCAAGCAGCAATGCTGCAAAGGAAAGCTCCCCACAGCCATCCCAGCTCCAAAAGCAGCAACGCAGGATCCAGCCTCTGAGCGCAGCAGCCCCAAGACTTCAACGGGGAGGAAGAAGTTGCCCCGAGGCCAGTAAACCTCAGAGACCCACTGCAGTGAGCGTGTGCCATGCCAGCACTGAAACCCTTATCCTGTGCTGCCTAACCTCAGCACCCGGGGCAGAACTGGCCGGCTTGGGGGCTGGCAGCCTTGGGGGGAGGCAGGGAGCAAGCAGGGGTCCCGCACAGCAGCCCGGGCAGCAGCGCTGACCTGCGTGGCCCCGGCAGGCTGGGCTGGGCTCCGGCGGGGCGTCCTCCTCGGACCTGGCCTGCAGGATGGTCACCGTGGCCCCCGTCTGCTGAATAAACTGCTGCAAATTACACTGCCTCAGCTCCTTATTTAACTCCTCCAGCTCGTGGGTCTGGGCCTGCAAAACACACAGCGGGCGGGGGACAGGGTGAGCCCCGTGTCCTCCCGCAGGACCCGTGGCCTGCAGGATGGTCACCGTGGCCCCCGTCTGCTGAATAAACTGCTGCAAATTACACTGCCTCAGCTCCTTATTTAACTCCTCCAGCTCGTGGGTCTGGGCCTGCAAAACACACAGCGGGCGGGGGACAGGGTGAGCCCCGTGTCCTCCCGCAGGACCCGAAACCAGCCGGCAAACTCCTCCCGGGGAGGCTCCGCTGACACG